TTCTGATCTCATATCATGATAGTAAAATATAAGGAGAAAATTGCTAGTGAAAAAAATGTTGTTCGTTCCTCTTATGAGTTGTCTTTTCGCTCTTAGATACCATTAGTGGTAGGTTTTTTAGAATATTATATGGAGTCAAACACAAGATATTGAAAAATATCCAAATTAAATTGCCTCTTAGTTGTCTTTGTCATTCTTTTTCAAACTAGGCTTGTAGGAATTGCATTCATAAACTCATTCTCTATTACTTAATTCAACGAATGTCAACCTAACTCCATAAATCCATAATGATAGCATAAATCTTGATATGGATTGAGAAAGTCAATCTTTTCTCTCTTAAAAAAAATCGTCCAGCAAACGTTATTATATAATTTAAGGTGACACATATTAATATTTTTTATACTCCGTATTTGTTTTTTTAACGAAAAAAATAGGTAGTATTTTTTTAATTACGAAAAATGTTATCTCATTTCATTAATTAATTAAATCAATTACGAAATACCACTACAAAAAAATTACGGGATTGACACGGATTTGGCACGGAGTTTTCGACAATTTCGTGCCAAATAGCTCGTGCCAAACCGTTTTTGGCACAGATTTGACATATCCCTGCCAATTTTGAGAAAACCCTACCAAAAATCTCCGCTCATCTCGTGTTTTTTGTAGTGTACATTAATAGTTTATTTACAAAATATTTACTAGTTACCAAATTAGTCAAAATTTATAAGAACATTGTACCATTAGTTGTTCATATAAACTCATCAAAGAATCTCAAAACTCATCAAACTCCAATTCCCCCAGAACAAAATCCTAAAGAACTGAAATTGTAAATGCATTAAAGTAACAGGTGGTGCATATTTGACAAGTTTAAATTTGAACGTAAAGAAATCTTGAGAACTAATCAATATATATAAAAGAGGAACTTTTTAAGAGCATACAAAGCGCCACATAATCCTGTCATGAAATTATATATAACAATTATTTACTTATTTTTATACCTTTTTTTTATTAGATTCTATTTTTGATTGCATATTGATATGGAAACAAAAATCCTTATAAATCCACCTTAAATAAATTTGGTAAGCTTCAAATAAGTAAAATAAGTTTTGCTTATCAGTGAAATTCTAATAACGTTTATTGATATGGAAACTAATTTATATTAGTTTACTACACTGAATTAAATAAAAACAAATATGCAAATTAGTTTACTTATTAATTTGACACCTATTAATAAATTAGTAAGCTTCAAATAAGTAAATAATTAAAAATGAAATTAAAAATTATAACCAACATAAAGTATATATATTTTCACAAGTAAATATGTTTAGCTTAGCCAAATAAGTAAATTTTTTCGGTTGTTTCTTTATTTTACACCTAAAATTTATATATGCCTTCACTTTTGAAATAAATTCCTAATCCAATTATAGGTTTAAGAATTCCTACTTTTATTTTAATAGAATGTTTTAATTGGATTGATTTCAGTTCCAGATTAAATCAGATCAGATCAAACTTTAATAATTATAACAATAAGTCACATAAAAAACAGACATCTAATAGACCATATTAATTCATACCAAATCAAATCCGAAATTTTAATTCAATTAAAAACGTTCTTATTAATCAGTAAACTGTAAGATCTAATAATTAAGAAATATAGATTTTTTTATTATTGGGTTCATAACAATTATGTTTACTTGAGATGCTTATGTAGAAGACCAATTTAACTTTTTTTTCATATATTTTTTGCTTTGTTTCACAAATGGAATATATTTCACATATATTTTTCATGATTCAGAAGATTCCACCTATTTAACCAGAATTCAGTCAATTTCAGCAAAATAAGTTAATTCTATTTACTTTAGTATTATCAAACAGACTCTATATTAGACTAAGTTTATTTTTCTTTTAAATCACATTATATGTGATCCAATAGAAATTAAATTTCAAATTAGTTAAATTACATACTACTTGTGCATCGCACGGGCTTGAAAGCTAGTGTTGTTCATAAAAGAAATCATTTCTTATTGAGGAATCATTGTTTTATAGTTGGTTCTGAAAAACATTCGGTATACACCTATGCTGAGACGCATCACATGGATTGCAGTCTTTAGTGTCATAAAAAAGAACAACATATATATCACTATCACTTAGAAACATTATATAAATACAACAACATTACCTAACATTTATTTGCTCTTCTAAAAAAACATTTATTTGCTAATACTAATATAAATAAGTTAATCTTATCAAAGAAGCTTATATTGTAGGCAAACTTACCATTTAACTCCCAAAGTTAGCAAAATGGACCAAATTCTTCCAATGTTGACTATTAGTATTCTGCATTATACTATGTATTAAGGAATGGAACTTGTCTTATAGAACTGAAATTGTAAATGATCAAAGTAATGAGGTGTGCATATTTGACCAGTCTAAATTCGAATGTAAAGAATCCTAGAACTAGTTGGTGACTCGCGAGCCATACATGCTTATAAATAACTAGATACTCCCTCCGTCCCATAAAACTTGGCCAATGTTGACTTGCACGTAGATTAATAAACTAAAAATTGTGTGATTGATATTTGTGAAGAGGAGAGAGAAATAACTTTAGCCACATATTTGCTACTTTAAATGGAAATAACAAAGTTTTGTGGGACATCCAAAAAAGAAAAGTTGACCAAATTTTATGGGACGGAGGTAGTATAAAATAAATATATACTTACGTTAGTTCATGCATATAACGAGTAAAACGCTATTGAAAACAATGTGGTTGATCTCTTGTGTGTTGTTGTTCAGCTCTTAGATACCTTGAGCTAGATGGAGACTACTAGCCACTAGGGCACTCTCACGGGTGTAGCCGAGGCTCCAAGAGTCCAAGGGACATTAGCCCCAAAAATTTTGGAGTTTTGCTAGGAGTACCCCAAAATGTACCCCATTTTTACCCCAACCCCTAATGTGTGGTCATAAATGGGCCAATTCATTTAAGTGGCGCCCCACTTAAATAAATTGCTCCATTTATGGCCATACATTAGGGGGTGGGGGTAAAAATGGGGTACATCTTGGGGTACTGATATGCACTAATTAGTAGTGCATAAATGTATATTTTTATGTTTGATTTATGTGTATTGTTTATCATTTTATTTAGTTTGTAAACATTTGTGTGATTTTAGTTGTAATTGTATTTTAATCCTCATTTGTAAGTTGTAAAGTAGAATTAGGAATTATGGTGTTGAAAAGGATGACTTTGAAGAGAAGAAAACAAGAAATTTGACTGCCCAGGAGTAAAACCCGACCGGGTAGAAACCCCAACCCGGTCGGGTATGATTTAACAGACGAAATTGCCAAGAAAGTCACTGGACCCGGTCGGGTCCCCTACTTGACCCGGTCGGGTCAGATGTGACCCGGGACAAAACGACGTGCGAAGATCACCAGAACGTGGGGAAATATCTGATTTTGACTGGACTCGGTCGGGTGAGTACTTGACCCGGTCGGGTACCCGGCCAAAAGTGTTGAAAAACACCTATAAATAGCACTCTTTTTCTTCTCTAAAAATCATCCCTTCTTCCATACTTCTAAGCTCAGTTTAGAATAGCATTTCTTTATATTTTTCTAGCTATGTTTAGTCTCCAAATGAGGAGCTAAACTTCCATTCTTGGTGTTGCTCTTGAAGCTGGTTGATTATTAAAGTTGTGAGTTATTTTCTTAACTTCTTTCCTTGAATATTAATTAATAGTTCTTTCCTTAATACCATCTCTATATTAATGTTGGGGAGTGTTGCTAAGATGACAATTAGTTAACATCTCGACATTAGTTAGAATGGTATTTTCTTCCTCTATATTAATATTGGGGAGTGTTGCTAAGATGACAATTAGTTAACATCTTGGTATTAATTATAGTAGGATTCATCTTCTTTAATAATATTCTTCCTTGAATATCAATTAATTCCTACTCATATTTCATATTAATATTTTGAACATTACTTAAATGATCAACTAGTTTTGTTTCATATATTAAATATTACTAGAAACGATCAACGAACCGATGATTAATCGTTGATGGTTTCACAAGTAAGTAACTTCGGTTTATTAATGCACGGTCGTGGTTAATAAACTTAAGAGGGATTAATTTTGTTGGTTAAACCGAAACCGTTGTGTTGAGGTTATCAATCTCAATTGATTTCATCAAGGAGTTAGACAGATTAAATGCTACTATTAAATCGGTATAAGGCGTTGTTCTATATTTGATTAATAGTAAGGGTTATTAATGAACGGTTGTTGTTAATAACTACCCTCGATGAAGTGGATATACTCCCCGATTGAGTATTCGAGAGGGAATAAGTTATAGATATAACAATGATCGACTAAAATATATATCAACAAGTGGAAAGTAGCAATGTCAAGTCCTTTTTATCTTTGAATTAAACACATATAGGTTGTTCATCTTAGTTCTTAATTAAATTAAATCACTCAATCCAAAACCCCCCTTTTTATTTACTAAGTATCATAAAAAGAGAATTATTCCTTTCCTTGTGGATACGAACTCTACTACTCTATACTACGTATAAGTGTTAGTATTGAAAATTATTTTGACGCACCGTGACAAAGTGCTCGTCAAATTTGGCGCCGTTGCCGGGGAAAGGCAATTATTTTTCTTTTTATTTTATCTCATAAAAATAAAAAATAAATAAAAAAATAAAATAAAAAAAATATATAAAGAAAAATCTTACTTTTCTATTTTCTGAGCTTGCATGAGTAAATGGATACCAACACATCATCCCTAGAGAGTCAAATTTCCGACTTGACTTCTCTAATAGAAGAGTTTATCTCATGTTCAAAATCTCAAGATGTCCATACATGCAACATTTGCATGTCACAAAGGCATCTTACGGATTTTTGCCCAGATTTTCGAGAAGAATTCTTTGAACAAAGGAATGGTGTTGGTTTCCAAGAGAGGTATGATTCATTCTCCAACACATATAGCCCATACTCATGTTCTTATTCCAGCATGTCCACTGAAGACATGATCCGAGCTCTCACTATCAATGTGACAAATATGCAACAAAATATGTCACAATGCTCGCAAGAAGAAGTGTCCAACGAACAGAACTTGGACAATCAGTTGAAACAAATGCCAAGCATTGTGAACCACATGGGCGAGGAGGAGGAAGAAGAGGAGCTTACGGAGAAAGCTCAACCGGAGGAGGAACCTCAAAACTCAACTCAACCACCGGCCATTCCTGAGATCATGCCACCATTTACTGGGGCTCTAAGGGAAACACAAAGGGTGGAGAAGGACAAAGATATCTATGAAATCTTCAGCAATTGTGAGTATCATTTAGACTTCTCTTTGTTCACAAATAAGCAAGGAATAACGATGGGATTACACAAATATTTCATACTCCCTCTTATAACACCCGGATCAAAACCCCTTCCATTGGCCATGCTTAATGAAAATCATGGACCAACACTCTCACAATATGAAGTGATAGAAATCTGGATATTTGATCCCGGAAAGGTCAAAATAAAGGGTCGAAAAACCGAGTCTTTCTATAAGAGTCACCCGGGTGAAAATTTGAAGAAGATGAGTTATCACGATCCAAGCTTGAACGATTGAACACAACCATGGCGTCGTGCCGCGACGTTAACTAAGGCGCTTCTTGGGAGGCAACCCAAGCAAGGTACGTTTACTTGTTTTATTTTATTTTTACACATTTCAAAAAAAAAATGGACTGGGATTGGACCCGGTCGGGTATAAACCCCAACCCGATCGGATTACTTCTAAAAACAAAACACCCGGGCAACCACCCGGGCGAGGCGAGAGCAAAACAAGAATAAATTTTTCGCCCGACCGGGTAGACTTCCATACCCGGCCGGGCAACCCAGCTAAACCTTTCTGCCTCGGGTGAACAGTTTACACCCGACCGGGTACACAACCTATACCCGGCCGGGCAACGCAACAAAAAAACATTCTGCCTCGGGTGAACAGTTTACGCCCGACCGGGTACACAACCCCACCCGGCCGGGTATCTCGATTTTTTGGAAACCAGGCCATTTCTAAAAAAAAAAATGAATCACCCCCTTCGTCTTCCCTTTCGAACCACACCCCAAATTTCCTCCATTTCCAAAAGTCAAAAGCTTCATATCTCCTACATCCATCCACCAATTAAACCCATTTCATTCATCACATCTTCACCCTTTTCATCTCCACACCCACGAATCACCAACAAAACCTCCCAAAAAGTAACAAAAAAAAAAGAAAACATTCATCTCAGACACAAGCACCAGAGACAGTGCTTTGATTAGCTTGGGGAGAGTTTTATGGGATACTCACATTCATACTCTTTATTCTTGTAAAAAAAAAATTATAAAAGCTTGTTAAGTTGAAAACCTGAAAGGACAATTTAAGCAAAAATAAAGCAAAAATAAGAGTGAGTTGTGAGGATTAAAACAGAAAAATGTGGGAAGCTGGGATGAAAACCCGAAAGGGCACCTAGGCAAAATGAGAGAACGAGAGAAAGTATTTTCTTTTATTTCTGCAGGATCCTAAGGGTAACGAAAAAAAAGGTTGAGGTTGATAAAGAAATATGGAGTTGAAACCCCTCTTGACTGTTATATTTTTGGGGATATACTTTGTGTGTTTCTAAAAACACTCGTGGATTTTTGTGTTGATACTCTTGTCATTTTAAGAACTTCTTGGATTGATTTGGTTTACTCGAGACGAGTAAAGGTTTAAGTGTGGGGGTATTTGATATGCACTAATTAGTAGTGCATAAATGTATATTTTTATGTTTGATTTATGTGTATTGTTTATCATTTTATTTAGTTTGTAAACATTTGTGTGATTTTAGTTGTAATTGTATTTTAATCCTCATTTGTAAGTTGTAAAGTAGAATTAGGAATTATGGTGTTGAAAAGGATGACTTTGAAGAGAAGAAAACAAGAAATTTGACTAGCCAGGAGTAAAACCCGACCGGGTAGAAACCCCCACCCGATCGGGTATGATTTAACAGACGAAATTGCCAAGAAAGTCACTGGACCCAGTCGGGTCCCCTACTTGACCCGGTCGGGTCAGATGTGACCCGGGACAAAACGACGTGCGAAGATCACCAGAACGTGGGGAAATATCTGATTTTGACCGGACCCGGTCGGGTGAGTACTTGACCCGGTCGGGCACCCGGCCAAAGATGTTAAAAAACACCTATAAATAGTACTCTTTTTCTTCTCTAAAAATCATCCCTTCTTCCATATTCCTAAGCTTAGTTTAGAATAGCATTTCTTTGTATTTTTCTAGCTATGTTTAGTCTCCAAATGAGGAGCTAAACTTCCATTCTTGGTGTTGCTCTTGAAGCTTGTTGATTATTAAAGTTGTGAGTTATTTTCTTAACTTCTTTCCTTGAATATTAATTAATAGTTCTTTCCTTAATACCATCTCTATATTAATGTTGGGGAGTGTTGCTAAGATGACAATTAGTTAACATCTCGACATTAGTTAAAATGGTATTTTCTTCCTCTATATTAATATTGAGGAGTGTTGCTAAGATGACAATTAGTTAACTCAATTTCTATCTCAACGTCTCTTTTCTTCTTTCACCATCATGCGCAGGAGCATATCATACTTCATACATCATGTAATATTGATATTATAACTTCTACTATATAGTTAACTCAATTTCTATCTCACTCTTTTTTTCTCACAAATAAATGTTTCCTTTTCGTTTCCTTTTTCAGCTTCTTAAATGCCCAATATGAATGTTGATGATGTTATTGTGATTTATATTAGGAAGAGGTAAAACTAAAACACAACGTAATAATATCTTTTACTATTATTATTATATACTCTCTCCGTCCCGCTAAGATTGTCTCATTTTACCTTTTCGGGAAACCTCATTAAGATTGTCTCATACCATATTTGATAAAGTTTATGCGGTTCTTAATCATTCTTACTTTATCAATTCAATATCAACAACATAAACTCACTTTTCTTAATAATCGCGTCATATTCTTCCGTACAAATGTTAGTGGGACGGATGTAGTATAAAAAAAGGGACCGGCTGGGAATAACTATTCCCGCCAGTCACCTAGGTCACCTTTTTGGCACAAAAACGTCATCATCCTATTATGCCGCTAACAATTTCATTTGGCAGTTTCTCCAAGCAGTTTTCTTCTCGACGGTTCACTTGGCTTCAACAAGCACGTAAAGGAAACCACCTTGGACAGTTTCCACGTACACTCCTTGCAGAAAATTGGGCAATCATCATATAATAAATAGCTAGCATGCTTCATCAATCAGTTGAATCACAATTCCGAAAATGCTTCTAAGCGTGCGTGTCTAAATTTAATTTAGACTTTCAATATTATCTTTATCAACTACGTCTACATGTAGCCGGGTAGGTAATTACTTGACAATTATGATTTACTATTACAGTGAGTTCTGGAGATCTGATCTGAAGATGTAACTCAACAGAATTCAAGTCTTCCAAGACAAACTGGGATCTGAGAGTAAGATCGGTGATCACGAGGCCATGTACAATTAAACTATTTTTTAGATCAATAACTTTTTTCTTATTTTCACAAGCAAAATTAGTCCGGTACTAATCATGCAATGATTCTAAACACGTTTAACATCAATTGACTTAAATTGTAATTCACTTAAACTTTTACGACATAATTGTAATTCTATTGAAACTCTCGGGTGTAAATTAAAAGAAAACAAAGCATAATGAAAGAAGCGAAGATATCAATGAAATTGAGAGGATCGTATGATATATATAGGATCATAAGTGACCAGTCCACAAATATGCGACTTCAAGAACAATTTTGTTGTTCATTCATGCATTATATTTCAACCACAAACAGGGACGGATCCAGGATTTTGAGTCAAGGGGGCGATTTTTTTTAGTGTAGGAGATAAAAAAGTTCACTAGTGTAGCGGGGCGAAAATTTTCACTAGTCTGAGGCTCTTCGGCTATTTTAATTCAAGAATATTTCATTAATACATGCATGACGACATTTAAATCTATATATTACATTCTAAGTTTAGACAATGATAAAATAACTTTAATTTTATAATTGAAGTGCTCTATCTAGAAAAAAGTATTGATACATTAAAGCGTAAGAAATGGAAAATCAAAGGAAAATAATATAAAAATAAAAAAGGATATATAACATGTTATTTAAATAAAAAGAGTTTATAAGGTAGACATTCACCAATACTTTTAAAATAACTTCAACATTGTTTAACTACATGAGTCTTATAGAATTAAAAAATTGATTTTTGAATTACAATTTTTGTCTACCATGGAGGGTGCTCATAAGTCACAAGGACTTTTTTTAATATTAGAATAGTATGTATGATATTATTATTTCAGAATAATATTATATTGCTAATTCATATATATAGTGCATTTTATATTTGTATTAATGCTAAAATATTTAAAGTTTATTATCTATGCAATAAAGTCTTTTTAGAACATAAGAAGTAAATGAATTGTGTAATTTAATGTCAATAATCATTTATAATTTTGATTCACTTCACATGATGTAAAAACTTTATAGCTATGTCTGGTATTAAATATCGTTTGATATATATTTTTCAAAATTATATTGTTTACTAGTTATCTAATAAAGATAATTACATATTACAAAACTAATAATTTTTATATAATAAGTATCATAAATCTTAAATAATGAGTTGTTGTATTGTTTATTTAAGTTATGTAAATGATTTTAGACATTCCTTCTTTTAAATCCCCAATTAAGTATTACATTATGTAAGACTATATATTAATTTTTAAAAACTAAAAGTTAAGGAGGGCAATGTTCAAAAAAAGTTAAGCGGGGCAAATCTAATTAAAGTATCAAAATTTTACAAAAACATTACATATATAGTAGAAAATTTTGAAAGTCCAAGGTGGGCGATCGCACCCCGCGCCCCCCTTAAATCCATCCCTTACCACAAATACAAGTAGTTTAATTATAGCATAGTCATTTTAGCACCTCAGTGGAAATTAGCCGTACATCACTACATTAGTATACAGGATCAATGTTTGTATTTCTATAATTTATCAACGTAAACAATTAGGTAATAGAGTAAACATTTAACTCACCTAATATCCTAATCCATAGACGGAGTATTATTATTGTGCATGTAATTTCCTACACTACCGTGTATTTTCCGTTTCCTTCCCAGACTTGTAGAAAAATATTCCGCCGAAGAACAAAAATAAAATACTCCTAACCTAAATCTTCTTCCGTCTAAGAGCAAAAAAACAAACGCAGGGAGCAAGCCGCCATCTCTCAAATAGTTAGCTATTTGATCCTGTTTCTCTTCTTAAGTCTTCACCTCAATTTCTTTTTGTGCTTTGGATATTTGTGTGTGTATAAGTATGATGTGGTGGTATTTCGTGCAGAGATGGATACAGAGGGATTTGGATTGAGGTTGCTTCCTCTTTGTCGTGTTTCTCGACCAATAATCATCTCATAAAAAAGGTCTAAGGAATGGATTAATAAATTATTATTAAAAGAATTGGGATTTCACGTGAGGTTACCTCATCTACCGTGTTCATCTAATAAAAAAGTATGAGAAATGGGTTATGACTTATGAATTAAAAAAATAAAGATTCAAAATATGGAATAATTATTAGTTGTGTTAATACATATGACATTTTAATCATGAAAAGGATATAAAAAAGCTTTATGAAGCAGTATTAATTACATTGATAAAAAATTAATTGATGTCCAAAAATGTCATTTAACAAGTTAACAGCTAAATATAAACAGCCATTTAATCAAACACCATTTTACAAACTGCTAATACTATCAGCTAATTAAAACAGCCAAAAGAATCCGTTGTCATCAATCAGCTAAAACAATCAGCCAACAGCCAACAGCCGACGGCCAAACACCCCCTTACTCCTATTCATAAAAAAAGTGACTTGGAAATTGTTCGATTTATTTGATCTGAGTGTTTCTTATTCTGATCTCATATCATGATAGTAAAACATAAGGAGAAAATTGCTAGTGAAAAAAATGTTGTTCGTTCCTCTTATGAGTTGTCTTTTCGCTCTTAGATACCATTAGTGGTAGGTTTTTTAGAATATTATATGGAGTCAAACACAAGTTATTGAAAAATATCCAAATTAAATTGCCTCTTAGTTGTTTTTGTCATTCTTTTTCAAACTAGGCTTGAAGGAATTGCATCCATAAACTCATTCTCTATTACTTAATTCAGCGAATGTCAACCTAACTCCATAATGATAGCATAAATCTTGATATGGATTGAGAAAGTCAATCTTTTCTCTCTTAAAAAAATTGTCCAGGAAACGTTATTATATAATTTAAGGTGGCACATATTATTATTTTTTATATTAGTATTTTTTAAACGAAAAAATTAGGTAGTATTTTTTTAATTACGAAAAATGTTATCTCATTTCATTAATTAATTAAATCAATTACGAAATACATTAATAGCTTATTTACAAAATATTTACTAGTTACCAAATTAGTCAAAATTTATAATTAAGAACATTGTACCATTAGTTGTTCATACAAACTCATCAAAGAATCTCAAAACTCGTCAAACTCCAATTCCCCCAGAACAAAATTCTATAGAATTGAAATTGTAAATGCATTAAAGTAACAGGTCGTACATCTTTGACAAGTCTAAATTTGAACGTAAAGAAATCTTGAGAACTAATGTTGTTCATAAAAGAAATCATTTCTTATTGAGGAATCATTGTTTTATAGTTGGTTCTGAAAAACATTCGGTATACACCTATGCTCAGACGCATCACATGAATTGTAGTCTTTGGTGTCATAAATAAGAACAACATACACCTATGCTCAGACGCATCACTATCACTTGAAACATTATAAATACAACAACATTACCTAACATTTATTTGCTCTTCTAAAAAAACATTTATTTGCTAGTCTCTACGAAATAATAAGCATGAATAATGGTAGGTCTATTTTAGATATAAGAAATTTGTTGGTGGTATACTATAGCTTACTTCACATGTACTTTGTGGTTAATTATTTGTGCCTTTTTTAAGTGGATATAAGAAAAGCAGTTTGTCTTCCGTTCCTCATCGCCGTCACCCGCGCGCAACCCACACTTCACACTCATGGTAGCGGACTAACCCTTTTTGCCTTCGTCGTCGGCTCGTCGCTATTGGGAATTGCGGAATTAGAATCCAGACAATGAAGAATCAAAGAAAAGGAATCACGAATTCGAAGTCCCTCTGCATCTGCTCTTCGCCTCGCCTCCCTATTTGATCTTACAATTCTTCGCCTGCTCTCGCAGAATCCATCAATCGGCTCTTCGTCTTAAATACAGGTTCGTCAATCAGCTCTAACAGTCGGGAGGCTAACAGTGGCAGAAGGGTTTGATGACGGTTAATATTAAACAGTATGTTCCTTTTTAGGTTTCATCGTCTTTGCTCTTCTCTTAGGAATATAAGATGTAGATTGATTTGGTGTATAAGTATTTGTTCTTAGATTTGTCAATTTATTTATGTTGACTCTTGAATTCTGATTAACTTATGTCTTTAAGTTTGTAGAAATCTATATGTTTAGGCTTTTGGTTTTTGGAGTTGTTGATTGCTAGAGGTAAAGAAATGACATTAGGTGTTTGTTAAATTGTCTAAACTAGATTCATCACGCCAGTTCATGATTATAAAAAATGTAAGTTATTTTTTGTTTCTTTTGTTACAAGTAGAATTTTCTTTCGGTTAGAGATATATGGTCTGCGAAGGACGAAGAAAATAGATGTGCAATGTTTTACCTCAGCGACTCAGCCATGGACCTTTTTATGGCTAAATTTAAATGTATTTTTTGGCACTAAAAAAGAAAAGAATGCCATTGACCCCTCCAATCAGACCAGATGAAGGTGCTGATGGTTCCAGTAGAGAGAATCAATAACAATAGCAGGAGAAGAGTACATATTTAGAGAACTCTTCCCAATATGTTTACTCAGTTTTGCCGTGAAGCACCAGAAGGGTCGTGCCTTATCTTCCCTTTCATACAAGCAAGCAACACTAAAGGCAGTAATGAGTACTAATGATGCTATGCGAGTACTAATGATGGTATGGTTTGAAAGCAGTTCGTCCGTTGCTCCTACTAAGCCCAATCTTAAAACATAGGAAAATATTAGCAACACAATACATTTCGTCGTTGCTAAGTTTCGTTCAAAGTTCTGAACATGTAAATGCCACTACGAGTCTCAACCAAAGAATCATGTATACATTGCACCATAAATGAAACAGCTGGCCGGTACACGGTCAACTCCACATCCTGTTCCACTTTAGCTAGCCGACCTTTGAAACCCACAACACATGTATCACTTTTCATGAATATCTTTTTATAAGCAGATCTGCGACTCCTTATCTCCGAGCTGAGAGTCCAGGAAGACGTAGACCTTCAAGATCTAACCCACGTAGTTCAGCCCTTTCACTTGAGACCATCGTCTACTTTGGAACATCTTGTGATACCACTGAACTACCATCAATGAAGGGAAAAATTCAATCTGACAAAACTGATGAATCATTGTATGTCCTGCAGTGTGGGTATGGTCCTCCACTACAACAAGTCCAGCCAGAAGTGTATTATTTGTCAAAATGTTGTTTTTACCCACTTTGCAGTCATGAGCTATTTGACAAGGTCCCATAATAAGATTGTTGTCACCAATGATCGTTCTATCATACTAGGCCTTGAAGATCCACAGATGGATGTATGCTCCCTGATCTCGTTGTTGTCAGTAACCACAAGGAAACATTCAATCTCAGCTCATATTTCAAATCCTGGAACTTAACCCCAACAACAACATGGTGTCCTACTACATTATTGATGGAGTGTTGTAGTTCAATTGTGTTTCAAGATTGTAAACTATTATTACTTTTAATTACTTACAAGAGGATACAATTGACTGCTATTAACTTACTCAATTAGTTTAACCACTCTTATCTTAAATTTCTACGTATGAATCACTACTTTTTCAAGTATATTACCAAATCTTATTTTAAATGAAATAAAAACCACACACCATCTCTTATCATTTCCATTTACGCTGAACTAATAGACATAATATATTCATATAACAATAAGTTCAGTGTTAATTTTTTCCTTCACAAGAATGTGTACTTATAATGAAGGTTTTTTTATTCCCCTGTTGTTATGCAAATGCTTCTTGTGTGATGGGGTTTTAACTGTTATTTTTGGCAAACTTTTTATTAGCCCCCTTTTCCTCATTTTATACTTGATAACGTAAAAAGGGAAGATTTCTTCCTCTTGTAAATTCATGATATTTTCATACCTTGTAGCTTTTCACAATTAGTATCTTATTGTTACTTAATTTTAGTGGTGGGCAAATATATGCTTAAAGTTCTGTGAGAACACCCACTTAGTATCATTCTGACCAAATTTTCCACTAAAGATTCTAGGAGAGCTACTCATGGACCCAGAGTGGCTAGATTAACATATGACCGATGTTATGTCGTGCGTATTAGTTGAGTTCGTAACATAGTACGTAGTATTTGAATGTGTTAATTTCCATAAAGTTGGGCTAAGTATTTGATTATGTCTTCATAATCCATTTGGTGGGTGAATTTGACTCAAATGCCTCAATGAGCGAAATATAATAAACAACTACAGTCATGTTTCATGTGTTTAAAAGAAACAAATACTCAAGCTAATAAGATAGTGTTTTGTCGACAGAATTGGCAATGATATACCTATGACTTCAAAACATGGTCTGAGTTTCAAAAATTACAAAGCGGTGTCAAAAAGTTCCAAAATCCAAACAACTTTGTTTTATTGGGCACTATCTCGCACGCGCAACGCGCGTTACAAAACTAGTACCAATATAAATACACTAGTACAAAATAAGCATTCTATAACTAACATTTAATATGAGTTGATTTAGAACCGTCATAGTATGATAACGCAGGGTCTAAATCATAATTAATAAAAGTTTCATCTCATAGGACGGGGCAAATTTATAAAATAAAAAATGTATCAATAACGGTTACTGATCTAACCCATCATAGAAAGTATATATGGGGTCATATTCATAAATCTCAAAAAGTTTGATCTCGCACGGGGTCATTTTTCTAATTAAAAAAACATACTTTCGATGTCCGTTTACTTGTAACCCTTATAGAATGTGTTTAAAAATTTCAACTCTTGCGGCCAAAGCAGAGCTACGGACGAACAACAAGGGTTTTGAAAGTAGCCGCATAGTTACGAAATTAGAAGCGCCTACAGACGAGCGCCTAAGGACGAAGCATCTACGGACGAAACAGAAGGAGCAGACCTAAGGACGAAAACACTCCGCCATATCCAGACCTCCGCCATTTTCGCACCTCCGGCGCTCCTTCGCCAGTGACGATTTTTCTAACCGGTAATTTTCTTACACACTAAATATGTATTTGGTTCTACTTTTCATAATTGATTCATGTATATATTTCTCTGGGATTTGCTTAATTTCATATGGGGGTTGATTTGGGGGGCCATTCCTTTGGTTGGCGGTTTCTGATTTATGTTGTTTCTAGTGTTATCATCTAGGATTATCTACGGCTATTATGAACCGGTACTAAAAATTGACGAAGAAGACTTTGGTGGTCATGGAAGTCTCCTCAAAGAGGGGCTTTTTGCGTCCATAACACTATTTTTGCTAGTGTGGACTCTGGTATACAGCCTATCACATTTCTTGTCGGGCTCAGCATGGTTGTTGGCACTTATTTATTTTTTTGAGAAAGTCAAACTGCAGTGAATTTATGACAGCCATCAAATTTATGACCCAATTATTTTATCCGAAGTGTTTGGAAAAACAAGTTAAGAGACAGCATAAGCCAAAAAGAAATGGATACTTGTCTACTAAAGTACTAATAATATAGATAGATAGATATTAACACCCACAAGATATTCAAAGAATATAGCAACCTCTTTCTCTGGCTTCCTTCCGGAGCTTCTCAGTCTCCTCATGTGCTCTTTCCAAACTCTTCCTCAGTTACTGATCTCATATCTAGATAGCTCTTGGGCTTCTCTTGCACTCTTCTCAGCCTCCAAGCGAGCAGCTTGCTCTTTAGCCAATTGCTCTTCCAGCTTGAGATTCGTCTCCTTCAGCTTCATCTCCACCATTTCAGTGATCTGCCTAAGTTGCTCAGCATATGCTCTTTGCATTTGACCGTTCAACTCAGATATCTCTTGTTTGGAGTATCGTGATGAATTAAATTCTGCAGTTTGATTCCGGATTTGAAGAGCACCTTTCTTCAGTGCAGAAAATATCTCATCAATGTATGGTTTCCCACAGTTCCGATTACCACAGAGTTCACAAGTTCACAAGGGAAAGAAGTTCTCTCAACTGCAAATCCTTCTTAGTTTTATCATTCGTCTTATTATCAAAAAGCACTTTCCAGTTCCCACACATCGCAAGAACATTCTTCAAAGGCTCAGGGCAGTTACGGCCTAAATAATCATCCAAAGTTTCATTAGATTCTTCAAGATCATCCCTGTCGGTGAAAACTACAATCATGTAGTCAGTCCATTTGCTTCCAAAAAATCTACACAAGCTCTCAACAGCTGATTCTTCTTCTCTTGAAAACCGGGTTCTAACTGAGAAAACTACAAGAACAACATGAATACCATCCTTGGCCATATTAATGCATTTAACAATTTCCTTTCCAATTGATTCATTGTCACCGGGATAGTCAAACAACCCAGGAGTGTCAATAACATTAATAATCTGTCCATCCCTCAAAATGGTCTGCTCGAGCTGGCAAGTGCTCGTGACACCAGACGAGCTAGACATTGACTTGAATTTTCTCTCCCTGATAATGCTATTACCACTCGCACTTTTACCATTTCCAGTCCGTCCAAGTAAGACGTCCCCGTCTTACGCCTCGTTACGCCTCGAGGCTTACGCATAGTGAGGCTACCATAGAACGCCTCAGGGCCCGATTTCGCATTTCAAAACCTTAGCTTTGACATGAATATGATATCTTTGCTAAAATTCCCCAATGAAATTTCCAATGAATGTTTCTTCACAATATGATGTGTAATTTCTTTAATTATTTCTTTTATATTTCCTAATTAACTTATTATCTAAGACTAGACAGTCCTCTTTCTAATAGCCTAATTAAATTATTATCTAAAACATATGATTATTTTTTACCCTGAGCTTGTTTTGTGTATATATACTTTTCTACCCCGAGATGGACAGTTATGTTTCTAATACGATTATTTTTTTATCCGGAGTTTTATTGGCTATACATTTTAGATTGGGTTGAGTAAGTTTCTTTATAATTGTGTTACTTTCTATCTAAAATTTATAGCAAATAAACATTTTTATGATTGAACTAACAATTCTTAATTTCAATACCCTCTAAGATTGCACTTCTTCATCTGCTTTATCAATCAAGTGCTTACCATTTTTTTCTATATTTATTCTCTGCTTGTGTGTCTTGTTTAAAAGAATACGAGAGTTGAGATAAAAAAAATCTATCCAAAAGTGATAATAGATCTACTGGGCATGCATACAAACATAATGCTATAAATTTTATAACGTATTAGGTTATGTGGTTTTGCTAAACAAATATTTACTTAATGTTTGTTTGACATGTACAAAAATTAAGATAGTTATGGATCGTAGTTGGATCAATTGTAGACGAACAAGTCTGAAAATGGGGTTGAATCTTTTCTGCAATTCGCAAAAACAAATCTGCCCAGTAGTAGTGAAAAGTTTCATTGTCCTTGTGTTAACTGCTTTAATGAGATACGACTAGACACTGAATTAATACGAGAGCATCTCCTCTGTGATGGATTTCTTAAAAGCTATACAGTATGGATATGGCATGGTGAGCGGTACAATATGCCCACTACATCATCTCATACAGAGGATGTTGCTGAACCAGAAATGGGTGATCATTTGGAGGACATGATACGTGACGACGGAGAGGAGGCTTTTAAGCGATCACATATTTATGAAACACTATGCGGTGACGCAGAGAAACATTTGTATCCCGGGTGCACCAAATACACACGACTTGCAGCCGTGCTAAAATTGTTTAATCTGAAAGCAAAGAATGGGTGGAGTGATAAGAGCTTCACCGAATTGCTTGTGTTGTTAAAAGATATGCTTCCTAGTGGTAATACATTACCAAACCGCAACTAAGAGCCAAAGAAGGTAATTTGTCCTTTGGGTATGGAGTATAAGAAGATACATGCATGTCCGAATGATTGTGTACTGTATAGAAAGGAGTTTGAGAACTTGAATGAGTATCCGAGATGTGGGATATCACGCTATAAAGTGAAGGACGATGATTCGAGTTGTGATGTAATAAGTGCAACTCGTCCTCCTGCCAAAGTGTTATGGTATCTTCCCATTATTCCAAGGTTGAAACGGCTCTTCACTAATCCAAAAGAAGCCAAGAACTTTAGATGGCATGCAGATGAAAGAAAATGTGACAGCATGATTCGCCATCCGGCATATTTTCTTCAGTGGAAAAAAATTGATAGCATGTATCCCGATTTTGGCAATGAGCCAAGGAATTTGAGGATTGGACTAGCTACAGATGGAATGAATCCATACGGTAACTTAAGTAGCATTCATAGTTCTTGGCATGTTCTCTTGATAATGTACAATTTATCTCCTTGGTTATGCATGAAACGCAAATATATCATGTTATCGGTGTTAATTTCTGGTCCCATACAACCAGGGAATGCTATAGACGTTTACCTATCTCCCCTTGTCCAAGACTTGAAGAGACTTTGAGAGGAAGGTATTGATGTGTTTGATGGTTACAAAAATGAAAAGTTCAAAATGCGAGCCTTATTGTTTTGTACCATCAATGACTTCCCTGCATGCAGAAATCTTGCTGGTTACAGTATTAAAGGGCATAAAGCATGTCCAATATGTGAATAAGACACATGCTATCATCAACTCTCACATGGTAGAAAAACTGTATATCTTGGACATCAGAGGTTTTTAAGAAGGGATCATCCATATCGTAGATAGAAAAAAGCTTTCAATGGATGCAATGAGAATAGAAGTTCTCCACTTCCTTTGACCGGAGAGCAAGTTTATCAACGAGTGAAGGGTATCAATGTTGTGTTCGAAAAGTCTAGAAAAAAGACTGAAACACAAATATGGAAGAAGTGGTCATTTTTTTTTCTCCCATACTGGCGCAATCTAGATGTGAGACACTGCATAGATGTGATGCATGTAGAGAAGAATGTGTGTGATAGTATCATTGGGACCCTTCTAAATATTCCTGGAAGGACAAAAGATAGATTGAATTCTCGTCTTGATCTTTTAGAGATGGGTATACGAGAAGAGCTAGCTCCACAACCACAAGGTAAACGCATGTATTTGACGCCTGCATGTCATACCTTGTCTAAGAAAGAGAAAACAAGTTTTTGTGCGTGTTTGCATGGTGTCAAAGTGTCACATGGTTATTGTTCAAATGTCAATAGTTACGTTTCAATGAAAGATCTAAAGCTGGTTGGTTTAAAATCTCTTGACTGTCACGTCCTAATGCAACATTTATTACCTGTGGTTATTCGTGGTATCTTGCCTCAGAAGTTTAGGGTGGCAATAACTAGGTTGTGTATTTTTTTTCCATAATATTTGTTCCGAAGTTATTGACCCTGAAAAGTTGGGAAAATGAGGTTGCTGTTGTATTGTCCCAATTAGAAATGTTTCCCCCCCTTCTTTTTTTGACATCATGGTTCACTTAGTAGTACACTTGGTTAGGGAGATAAGAATATGTGGCCCAGTTTATTTAAGATGGATGTACTCAATTGAGTGGTACATGAAAATCTTGAAAGGTTATGTCAAGAATCAGTATCGTCCAGAAGCATCAATTGTTGAACGTTACATTGCTGAGGAAGCCATTGAATTTTGTACACATTACATCTGAGAAGTTGAATCAATTGGCCTGCCAAAGTCATGCCTCGTTGGAAGATCTGAAGGTCACGGTACTCGAGGCTTAACATGTAAGAGCATGGGTTGAGATGAGGTTCTTCAAGCACATTTCTATATTTTAAATAATGTTGAAGAGGTTCAACCTTATTTACATGCTCACAAAGCTCTAGTGAAGCAAAAAACAAAGCGCGCAAGAATGAAAAGTGGCTGCTGAATGAGCATAACAAGAACTTTATAAAGTGGTTCAAGGACCAAATATTGAAGGATGATAGAGTGAGTGATAACTAAGATGGTTTGCAAATGGAATATTCTTTGAAGTAATGTGTTGGGGTGGATATAACATCAACAACTATTCCTTCTACACAAAGCGCGAAGATGATAAAAGCACCATGACAAATAGTGGGGTGATGGTTGTTGCTGAGGCAATGCATTTTTCAAGTGCAAAAGATAAAAATCCAGTAGCTGCATCAATATCCTATTATGGAATTATTGAAGAAGTGTGGGAGATCGATTACACTGGATTCAGGGAGGTTGTTGTCAAGTGTAAGTGGGTGGACCATAGAGGTGGGCTGAAAATTGAATCACTTGGTGTTACATTGGTGAATTTGGATACACTCGCATACACGGCTGAACCGTTCATCATGGCGCATCAAGCAAAGCAAGTTTTCTATATTACTGATCCCTATGACACTAGATGGTCAGTGGTTCTCCAAGGAAAACATTTACTTGTCAATGATGACAACAATGATCTTGCTCCAATCACGTTTGAGAATCCATTATATAATTCAATATCTGTTGTGATTGATGAAAATGAATTAGACAATGTGCAAGCAACTTGTGATGATCATATAGAAGGATTGTGGGAGAACATAACAGATAGTGTTAGTATATTATAGCTATAGATATTTATACATGTATTTACAATTTCAATTTTACATACTTAAATGTTAACTAAAATTTCATTTTTGTGAACAGACTGAACAATAATATGGACGAGCAAGGGACAAATGGATCAAACAGTAGATCTTCAAAAAAAGAGGAAGGCATCTGATAGGTGTGAAAATACCTAATACTTTCTCATAAAATTGATCTTTGTTTGTTAACTTTTGAATATTATTCTTCCTTTTTGGTTGTATGATACGTTCGTAATTTCCATATTTATGTTTACGTTTTTAATTAGTTTTGCTTGACTTTTACTTTGGAAATTACACACTTTTGGTGTAAATAGATTAGATTGTTAAATTCTTGTAAATAGGTTAGATTAGATATATTCTGAGCTCAAGCAGGTTTTGGTCACTCAAAGCACAGTTGGTGAACCCAAAAAGTGAAAAGAAGGTGCAAAAGTTCACAGACAAAAGAAGATCCTGAATTTTGGTCTATACTCGGTCGAGTATTAGCTATACTCGATCGGGTATTAGGTTGGAACTTCAAATCGGATCAGATCCGAAGACAAGGGAACATGCAGGGAAAATTTCGGCCACGATTTTATGTCTATACCCGATCGGGTAGACCGACATACCCGATCGGGTATGCCTTTGAATTGCAAACGAAGATCGGTCGAGTATGGTCCGAATATCATTTTCTAAGCATACTCGACCGGGTATTCATATATACTCGATCGGGTATACTCTTAGAAAATAGCCTGAAACCGGTCGAGTATGCCTCGGATCGAGTGTTACACACATACTCGATCGGGTACCATGTATATACCCGATCGAGTACCCGAATTAGCTCCCAAAAGCCTATAAATACACCTCCTTTCCTTCACAAAAAGATATCCAATCCCTTTGTACATCTAAGCTCAGTATAGAATAGCTCTTTCTTTATATTTTTCATCATGTTTAGTCTCCAAATGAGGAGCTAAACTCTTCCATCTTGGTTTTGCTACTTTGAAGCTTAATGAATTTGTAAGTTGTGAGTTATTTTCTTTAATCTTCTTCCTTGAATAT